CACAAAGCCAGACGTGGCAGGGAGGAAGGAAGGGGTCTGGGGGCTGCCTAAGGTGCTGTGCTCAGCCAGGGGGTCCCACTGAGCTGGTTGGGGTGTCCTCTCTCCCCTGGCTGCACTGCACCCCATCCCTGTGCCCCGCTTCTTGCCGCTTTCAGCTCACACCCATCCCATGCCCAGCTGGGCAGTGCCAAGGGCCGGCTGTGGTGCTGACCCCCCGCTCTCTGTCCAGGTGCAGTTTGGCTTCTGGCTGCTGCGTTACATCTGCACATTCATGCTCTTCATCCTGGGCATGAAGGCTCCGGGGCTGCCGCCCAAGCCCTACATGCTGCTGGTCAACGAGGAGGAGCGGGATGTGGAGAACAGCCAGGTGAGTCCTGGGGCTGGAGCAGTTTGAGGACATGGCCAGGGAGGAGCTGAGGACAAACCAGAAATACAGCCGCCCTGGCATCAGCATTTTTAGCAGCCTGGGGAGAAGTGAGGTTTAGGGCTGCTCAAGCTCCCTGGCTGCTGTCAGCAGGATGCGGCCCTGCTGGGAGGATTGAGTGGGGACCCTGAGAGGATGAGGCTGGTTTTCTTGGTGGGATGTTCCCCGAGGCTGTTGCCAGCTGGGCCAGGGTGCCAGGGCAGTGATCCCTCGCTCTGCTCTCCCCCAGCCCCTTCTGCCCGATGCCAGTAGGACCGGCTCCACCTGGAAGGATTTCCGGAGGAAGCTGCGACTGCTGGTGCCGTACATGTGGCCGACGGGCAATCGCCTGCTGCAGGGGCTGGTGCTGTTCTGCATGGCGCTCATGGGGGTGGAGCGGGCCATCAACGTCTTCGTCCCCATCTACTACAAGAACATTGGTGAGGTGGCTGGAGCTCGGCATGGGAGGCTGCCCATGGCCTCACCAAGTGCTGGGGTGTCATGAGTGACCTGGGGGGCTGCAGGGACCTGGCAGGACCAGGGTCCAGAGGAGTGGGGACCAGTGCTGAGCGCTGGGGCTGGTTCCCATGGGGCACCCAGCCATGCTTTCTGCCCATCCACCCTGACCTCTACCATACTCTCCCCAGTGAACGAGCTGACGGAAGGTGTTCCCTGGCGCTCCCTGGGCTGGACTGTCTGTATCTACGTGGGGTTGAAGTTCCTGCAGGGCGGAGGTGCTGGTAAGAACTGCTGGGAAGGACAAGGCGCTGGGGAGAGACGTCATGGAGCACTTCGTGCCAGGGCTGGGGTGGCTGGGGATGCCCTTATGCCCCTATCACTGCTGCTCTCTCTTGGGAGCAGCAACCAGGGCTGGTCCTGGGTTGGGGGCAACGCAGGGGCCCCATCCCAAATCCCCCTTTCCTAGCTGGGCTTTCTGAGCTAGCTGTGTGCCCCAGTGGTGCCAGTCCCCGCTGACCGTCCCATGGTGCCCCACAGGCTCCACCGGCTTCGTGAGCAACCTGCGCACCTTCCTGTGGGTGTGGGTGCAGCAGTTCACCAACCGGCAGGTGCAGGTGCAGCTCTTTGCCCACCTGCACGGGCTGTCCCTGCGCTGGCACCTGGGACGTCGCACTGGCGAGGTCCTGCGCAGCGTGGACCGGGGCACCAGCAGCATCAACAGCCTGCTCAGGTCAGAGGGGGCTTGTGGTGGGCGGGGGGTGGCCAGGCAGCCCCAGCGGGCAGGGCTGATGTACCATCCCCCTTCCTGCCCCCCAGCTACATCGTCTTCAGCATCATGCCCACCATCGCGGACATCATCATCGGCATTGTTTACTTCACCTCGGTCTTCAGCGCCTGGTTCGGCCTCATCATCTTCGTGTGTATGAGCCTCTACCTGAGTGAGTAGGGGTTTGGGGAGCAAGGATGCTGTGCTGGGGTGTGGGGCTGTGGGCACCTGCTGACGCAGCCCCTCCTGCCCGCAGCTCTGACTATCTTCATCACCGAGTGGAGGACCAAGTACCGGCGAGACATGAACACGCAGGACAACGAGGCCAAGTCCCGGGCTGTCGACTCACTCCTCAATTTCGAGACGGTACCGTAGGTGGCGATGGGGATCACTGGGCACTGCCTGGCACTGAGTGAGGCTGGTCCAGGCACTGACCGTGGCTCTGCGTCCTGCAGGTGAAGTACTACAATGCGGAGAGCTACGAGGTTAACCGCTTTAACGATGCCATCGTCAAGTACCAGGTACGGGGGGGGTTGTTGAGGAGGAAGGAGCTGAGCCCCACAGGCACCTGTGGGGAGGATGGAGCTCACCCTGGATCGGGTTCGGAGGTGGCAGCTTTCCAGAGGACCTTGCCTCTTCCAGGTCTCAGAGTGGAAGGTCAGTGCCTCGCTGGGCCTCCTCAACCAGACCCAGAACCTGGTCATCGGCCTGGGGCTGCTGGCGGGGTCCCTGCTTTGCGCCTACTTTGTCACCGAAAAAAAGCTGCAGGTAGGGCTGGTGCCAGCCTGGGCAGCCCCCTGCCCGAGGTGGGGCCCTGGGGCTGGTGGTGACGGGCACATCTCCCGTGTCCTTTCCAGGTGGGGGACTTTGTCCTCTTTGGTACCTATATCATCCAGCTCTACATGCCACTCAACTGGTTTGGGACTTACTATAGGTAACGTTGGGAGCTGTGGGAATGCCTGGGGTCCATGTCCCCATAGGCACCTGGGTCGGGATGTGCTTGCTCAAACCCTTCTCTCTGGTCTTTGCTCCCTTCCAGGATGATCCAGAACTCCTTTGTGGACATGGAGAACATGTTTGAGCTCTTCCATGAGGAGCAAGAGGTGAGTGCCACCTTCCCGGACCCCACTCCCTGGCACGGCCCTGTTGGTCCTGCCCTGGGGAGAGGCTGGCTCTGAGGCCGCGTCTCACCCTCCGGCAGGTGAAGGATGCAGTGAATGCCAGCGACCTGCGCTTGGAGGCCGGGCGGATCGAGTTTGAGAACGTGCACTTCAGCTATGTTGATGGGTACTAGGCAGCGGACACAGGGTGGTGGGATGGGACGAGTTGAGCTATGGGGCTTTGCACAGGGACATGGGGCAGGGGAGGTGGTCCTGAGCCCCTCTCCATCTCCCTCTCCCAGGAAGGAAATCCTGCAGGACGTCTCCTTCTCTGTGATGCCTGGGCAGACCCTGGCCCTGGTGAGAGCAAGACCTTGGGTGTGGGTTCCATGCTGAAGGGTGGGATGGGGGGAGAGGAGGTGGGAAGTATGGGGGTGGGAAGGACAGACCCCCAATGGGGCTGGTCCTTCCCTGCCCAGCCCCTGGCCTCCAGCAGTGGGAGGTTTCTGGTGTCTCCTTCGTGTGCAGGTGGGACCTTCAGGCTCAGGGAAGAGCACCATCATCCGCCTGCTCTTCCGCTTCTACGATGTGCGGGGTGGCTGCATCCGCATTGATGGGCAGGACATCACCCAGGTGAGGGCTGGAGGCCTCCAGGGACCGGGGAGGGGACGGACACCGGATCCTCTGGGCCTTGCAGCATTGCTTGCTGTGGGCACTGGTGTGTCCTTGGGGCAGGGGTGAGCCCCCACAGTCCCTTTGATGGCTGATGTCTGTGCTGGGAACACGGTGACTGTGGGACCCCTGGGCTGAAATGCTGGAGACTGGCCAAGGCTTCCCAGGAAGGGCTGGGGTGCCCCACCGCAGGGTGGAGATGCAGCTGAGCATGTGGTCCAGAGGGGACCCTGGAGCAGTCACCCAATGGACAAGCAGTGTGTTGGGCTCACGGCTGGGGGTGGGATTGGGTTTTGGGGGGGGTCTTTGTGTGTCTGGCTGAGTCTTCCCTGTTCCTCCCCCCAGGTGAAGCAGGCATCGCTGCGTGCTCACATCGGGGTGGTGCCCCAGGATACAGTGCTCTTCAACGACACCATCGCCAACAACATCCGCTACGGACGTGTCCTGGCCACTGACCAGGAGGTGCAGGAGGCAGCCCGGGCTGCTGACATCCATGACCGCATCCTTTCCTTCCCCAATGGTGAGACCCCCACAGTGCCCTCCTTGCCCTCACCTGCCATCCTGGGGTCCCCCGTGACCTTGTAGCTGTCCTCATGGGTGTCCTTCGTTGACATTCCCCATGGGGACACCTGTGCGACCCTGTGCCTCGCTTTGCCTCTCCGTGCCGTCTCTCCAAGGCTAAATCAGCCCCTGGGCAGAGGTGGACTGAGGCTGCACGGTCCCAGCAGGACCCCCCCTGTGCAGCAGAGCCCCACTCCCCATCCCCACCTTCCTGCCCTTGTGCCTGCAGGATACAATACCCAGGTGGGGGAGCGGGGGCTGAAGCTGAGCGGGGGGGAGAAGCAGCGCGTCGCCATCGCACGCACCATCCTGAAGGGTCCCAGGATCATCCTCCTGGATGAGGTAAC